GTTTGCACAATTTCTCTGAACTTTGAAATTCATTTTCTCGAGCTCCTATCGGAAATTGTTTCTGGTGTTATTTGAGGCAATTATTTATAGCTTTAGCTTTTAGAAAATGTAAAAAGGACTATTATGTACTTAACTTCATTCTGGCACAGGGGTTTTGTCCACCAAAAACGGAAATTGCTCGAAATCCTATCGGATGTCGTCTCACTTGTAAATTTCAACGATATGCATTTTGAGGAAAGTGCCGTTTGTGGTTCAAATTTTTCTCGTGATTACTTTTTTTGCTTGATTTTAAAATGAGATCCTGTCTCGGGTTTTTGGGATTCCGGGTCATTTTAAGGTAAGCTTGAATATTAACGCGATACAGAATATTTTGGGAAAAAATTAATGGAATGTGGGATATTTAAAACAAATGTCCCGGATATCGGTTAGGAATGTTGCTAATTTTTGAAATTGGAATTAGTGGAATATGGAATATTTAGGCCAAAAATGTACGTGATATGGATTTAACACTAATTATTTCTCAGAACTTGCATTAAAAGAAATGTCTGCACGGCAGCGAAGGAAAGTAACACAAATCTGAGCTTAGAACTGTAAGCTTATTCACCAAAAACGAACATAACCTACAATTTATTCCTCTTCCCAGGGTGTGTACATGTTCCGAAATGGAGCCAAATATGAGGGATTTTATGATCGAGGCAAAAAAAGTGGTTCTGGTGTATTTGAGTATCCTGATGGTTCTAGGTATGAAGGTATGGTTTTCTACGAAATTAGAATAAAATAGCCATAACTATTAATACAAGCATTGAAATGTTTCGATAATTTTTAGCTGAGTGAGAACAAATAAAGTTGTTGTTGTTGTTTTTATGCAGTGCAACATTCAGGTAAGGAATAATGCCTGAGCTGGATGTGTAAGGCAAATTTCAGCTAATTCATAGTGTGAGGGAATTTTAATTTCAGTTTTTTAATTTTTCAGCTAAATGCTTTGCTTATATTTTCTATCCTTCAGTTTTGAAAATGACTAATTTGGAACTCCACAAAAAAAATTGGTCACGAGAGAGCAAAACCTTGATTGTGTCTTTATACTAGACAGAAGCATATTATTATAACCCCTTAATGCCTCTGTTCTGGATCAGTTGGGTTAATCATCTTTTTAACTATGCAGCCCTGTTTCTTGGTTTGTTTAATGCAACAAGCCAGGAGTACAAGGGGGAGCAAGGGGTGGTAGAGGTAGAAACAACAACAACGACCTCAACAACAATCCTTTATTTTACCCTTCTTCTTACAAATTGATCATCACAATTAGTTAAAAGTTATAACTGAATAAGGGTAATGCCAACCAGAAATAACCAATGGGTTAAAAATGCCAAATTCCCAGTTTACAAGCTGACTACCGGTATGCATAGTACTTTGATTTATGCCAAATAGTGATAATGAAGGCACTCTACCACGGTTTTCCATAAATACCTCTTACTAACCGA